ACCATGATTAATCTGATTAAAATTTTTAACGCAATTAACCCATCTGCAGCGCAGAATGATTCAAAATCACTGAAATGTCTCTGTCAACCCATTTCGGGTAGTTTTAGTTTGTTCCATTTCCCCTCGGAACTTGTATTCCGAGTCGGATTCCGGAGTTTTGAAGCCGGAAGTGACTACATGCGCTCCCGTTTCTCGGACATCCGAGAAATACCTCGGAGCAGCGCAGAGGATCCCGAGTTCAGAATCCAAGATGGCTGCGCCCTTTATCAACAGAAGGGAAAGTTGTAGTCTTATACTGTTTAAGCACTACTTCTCATTTGTGGCTCATTAAATCGGTCGCACACGCTATACTGTCCAACTTATCTGTGGATGTGTTGCTATGGAGTTTTATATGTAAAGCACCGCACGTAATGTGTTATCAACTGATATTGCTAACAATGGCAATTAACCGGGCTAGAATTGGACTTCATGATTAGTTGGATTATTTGTCGGATTTATGGTAGTTCGTGCTGATTGTAAGCGAACGAAGATAAAGACCATTTAAACTGAGGTACCTTAAATCCGACAAGTTGTCCGGCTAAGCAAAAAATCTTGCTTTTTGATATGGGTCCATGGTATTGCACTTCTGTGGCAGATGGATTGATGGACTGTTCAAGATGTTCAATAAACATGTTAAGTGCATATATATTCCCTTTTTTCTTGAGTCTGTTTGCTCATGCAAAATGAAATGTGATTAATATAGATTAAAAATGAATGATATTTAATCATGATTAATCAAAATTTATCCACAGGAACCCTGTGATTAATCTGATTAAAAATGTTAATCATTTGACAGCACTAGTATATATATTTTTAAACGATCATTTTATATTATATACTTAATTATAACTTCTGGAGATTTGGTCTTCATGGGGCCGTTAATTTTCAGGGAGCCAAGGGAGCTGCCTACCCTTGCCTTATGGTAAGTCTGCTCCAGGTTCTACATCTATTTTTATTTCAAGAGCTGGAGGGTAGTGAATCTAGCCAGGATAGAAGGACATCCACATAATATTCTGTGGTATTCCACACCTCATCCACTAGATACTGTGTGTCCTGGAAGACGCTCTTTTCCTTTAATAAGATTTCCCCCAACAAGGAGAATATCTGACCCTGAAGATATGACACAGCATTTTTACAGCCTAATATGAGGACAGAAGTTCAAGCAAGACTTAGCCGTCATATTACAGCAATGAGAAGTTACCATGAGTATCTCCCAGTACTCTACAATTTTCCCCTCCTAGTCAGTCAGTGGGCTGAAAGATTCCAATTCTGTGGCAAAATTAACCACAAGTCTGCTGGGCTGCTTGTGGAATCCTGAAACACAGGACTTAGCTATCAGGCACTCAATACAAAAGCTACTGGTCACAGTTCACAGTTATACACATGGACTGGGGAACCGGGCCTTTTGTTGGGTGGCTTCTGGAGTATGATTAAGAATGCAGTGATGAACAGTAAGTAATCACTTGCAAATAATTTAATGGGAATTGATAAAATTTTGTCAAGTTAGTCATAGTTTTTTATAAAAAGGTTATATTTGAGTTTTTCCAAATGCAGCCAAAGGGACATGTCTTTATGCCATGCCCCCCCCCCCCCCCTTTCACATGCGTTCCACAGTCCATGGTTGTACATGCATGATGCAGAACAGATGCCTATGTCATTACATTTTTTTTAGTACATCGCATGCAATACAACTTGGACTTAGAATGGAATTAGGAATGGATAAATGGAAAACTGCAACACTGATTTCCTACAGGATCTGCAATGATTCTTCATACAGACACACTCACATAGTATCACCAAAGAGCGGTTGAAGGAGATGTCCTGTCCATGCTGGTTGCGCACTTGCAGTAGTACTGGCCGCTGTCCTGGGCACGCACACTGGTGAATGCAAGGTTCTGTGAAAAGCCTCTCTCATAGAGCTTAGATCCCATGATCTGAAACCAGGAGTAATTCTGCACTGGTGGGTTGGCATTGCTGTTACAGTTCAGTGTTACTGAGCTCCCCTCCATTATGTCCACAGGTGAGTTAATTGACACAGATGTGCTCCTTGGTGCATCTTAAACACAAAGTTCAGATAAACATTCTCTGGAAAGTGAAAACTTCTGCAGGATTATATTGACCCTAGGCCACTTATCTAGCTTAATTCCAATTATATGCAATGTACAGAGCAATTTCAAAAAATGTTTAGTTAGCTCTGCAGATACTGGAACAAAACGTAACAACTATGCCTTAATCATCAGAGAAATTCTTTATAAATGCCTACATATTGTTATTAAACACAAGCTGAGTAGAAAATAAACATTCAGAAATACTGAGGGTAAAAAAATATTGACAAACATTATTAGGCCTGTTATTATTTTCCATCAGTTAAAACTTATAAAATGCTGTGCAATATTAACAATCAAAAGTAAATTTCCATTGATTTAAACATTTAAATGAATGCATTACTCCATTGCATTTGAAAGTCCAAACTAAAGCGTATCATAAGTGCTTACAGGTGACGTTCAGCAAGACAGGTCTGGATTTCTCCCTGACTAGGGAGTTTTGTGCCATGCAATAATACTCTCCAAGGTTTATGCCAGTGGTACATATTGAACAGTTGTACTTTTCATCCATTTATTAATCCATTTATATCCCCACTACTATACTAATAAGTAGACAATGTACTGTAGTGAATTTCTATAACGTAACCAGTTCAGAAGCTTTACTGGTTTTCAGTACAAGTGATTATCACTATTCAAATAAACTGTAAAAAAACAGGTGCAAAATATAAATAAATATATACACTCACCTAAAGGATTATTAGAAACACCTGTTAAATTTCTCATTAATGCAATTATCTAATCAACCAATCACATGGCAGTTGCTTCAATGCATTTAGGGGTGTGGTCCTGGTCAAGACAATCTCCTGAACTGAATGTCAGAATGGGAACGAAAGGTGATTTACAGTTTTTTCCAATTGCTAACACACTAAAATCTAATGTAAAGCTCAACTG